AAAGTCTGACATCGGCCAAGAAAGGTTCAAGTAGTCAGTAAACCCTACCCTTCTGCTCAACGAAAATTCAGCGCGTAGGTCTAACAGTGGCAGTACACGGAGTAGATCGTCAAAATTTCTAATCACCGGCAGTGAATGTTTCCTAATTGTGATTGGAAAAAGGTTGTGATTTGCTGAGATTAACACCTAAAATATCTTTATAAGGAAAAATATGCATTCGACCAACCAGCGCCAAGATGACGCGCTAAAATTAAACTCAGCTTTTTTCCCTAATGATTCTGCAATGTTGCAATATTATTATACCAAGTATTTTAACAGTTCATAAAACAGTGAACGATATGAAAGACACAACAATAACAAATATTTATGTAAATCTGAGAAAATGAGGCAAATACGAATCACATGAGAGTGTTCCACTTACAATTTAAAACTTAATACAAATAAAGGTCAGAAATAAAAGTTAGTCGGAGGTCCTAAAAGACCTCGAGTAAGTATTGCTGGGATGAACAGCCGAACAAATCGGCTTTACTGCCAGAGTTTCCCTCTATGCCGCGACTGCGAGGAAAGGAAACATTCAGAAGATCACGATCAATAATTATGAAAACAATGGGCCTTCTTTCTGTAGGCGCACACCGCCAGGGTCAACCATGGCATTTGGCCGAATTCAGATTTTCCTACGACCCCTATCGCCTTGAAGAGGTTTTGTCGCCATGGCTCGTTATTTTTGAGACCAGTTTCTGCGCTCCAACTCCGTCCACTTCTCTCCATGATTAATGTTGAGCGGGTGGGGAAGGGGGGGGGGGAGTGGATACAAACATGTCTAAAGGGCGACGCAACTGTTCTAATTTCGCACATTTCAAGCTTATTTATTATTGGAATTTTGTCAAAAAAATTTCAAAAACCCGTCACAAGACCCTCTATTACCACTACAACCTATTCAATTTCCGAAAATACGACCGAGATTCGACCTTCTGACCTCCGTGAACCCCAATTACGACGCCTTCTCTCCCAAAATCCGCAATTTCGACTCCCACCACCCACCCTCCCCCATTCTAAATCGGCCGCGTGAATGGTTGACCCTGGATGCCGCTGAAATAAGTGAGCTCAGTCCCCAGCGCGGTTTCTAGATTCACCCACCTACTGGTAACTGTGAGCCAGTACAGAAAGGCTTGTTGTGGTCAAATTATCCGATTTCACGACGTAGACAGGCTTTATACCATGGCCTTCCTAATGTGCCTGCGATACGTTCTAGTGGCAATCATAGCTATTGGATCACTCTAAACGCATGGCAGCCGAGAACGGCGCCCGAGATCGTCATGTTTTATCCACTGCTGATGGAAAATGAGACATCGATCTGGAATTGTTGGCCGCCGATTTCGATCCGGTTAATAGTCGAACAATGACCATACGGAACTGTTTGTTGAACACCAGTGTTATCACTCTGAAAGAAAATTCATGCAGTAGCTGAATGAGGAAAAACAGAGGCAAGTTCATTATTGATTAGCAGATCCCCTCATGAGTGCACAATGCATCTTTCTGTCCGGTAAGATCGAACGGGATCTTACGCCGATGTCAGACTTTGCGAATCGCGCGAATCGCTAGTAGCGAATCGCGCGATTCGCAAAGTCTCACATCGGCCTTAACATGAAGTGTTCAACTAGCACAAAGATCAGGTTACGCGCAACAAGCATGAGGTAAAGATAGAGTTGGAGAAATCACTCTATAGCGCTTTGGTCTGTAACGGTAAGATCGGGATAAGGCAGCGTTCAAAGTTGGCGATCGTAAATGCGATTAGGCGATTAGGTGATGGTTCAGAAAGAAAGTGTAAATATCGATTAGGCGATTAGGCGAGTAGGCGAGTGGCGATTAGGTCTTGCTCACCTAATTAGTCCACTCGCCTACTCGTCTAATCGCCTAATCAACACTTATCCCTTTCTTTATAGACTAGTAGTCTGTTCGCATGTACGATATCAACGCAAGACGAGCGAATGAAATGCTGCCATAAGCGCGTTAATGACGCCTATGATCAGGAACAGTTTGAGTACCACTCACACACGGCAAGTTCTCGATCACGGTGGCTGGAAGCAATTTTGAATGAAGCGCAAGATCCATGTCGAAATTCGCCATGTCCTGGCCAATTCTTCTAAGGGGGAGGGGATTGACCAAGGAAATATCTCTAAAGAGCGTGTACCACCGACCAGGCGCGAAGAATTGCGTAAGATGTTGTGCTAGACTTTAAGGTCTTCATCAAAACACCATTTCAAATAAGAGTGTTATAGAATTCGGATTCTGCAGCGCGCTTCAAGACTTAAAGGCAGCTGGCACAATAAACTGGATGACTGAAGAAGTAGGAATGCACCCATGATAAATGGGAAATGTGCCCGTAAGGAACCGAAAGTCACGTGTGGAGCAGCAAGCAGGCCATCCACCGCAGCATCAAGCCTTCTATCAATCTAGGACATCTTGCTGACGTAGCGCACATCGGACTGGCCACGAGCTGCTGGTCGCCTCCCTGTCGGACTCTAGTCGTTTCGGCAGAAAGGCAGACCAGAGCGTTCACGTTGGCTACATCGGCACCAATGTGACTCGTCCAAAGCAGAAGTCAACGGGAAAAGCAAGGGTTCCATGCAAAGTTTTGGCCTTTTTCTTCAATTTTTTCTCCAATGCTGCACTGTAGCAAGTTCTAGTTCCGCTTCGGAGGCGGGGAGCCAATTTATAGCCACCCTGCCTTTTAAGTTAACTTTTGCGTCAACAAGAGAAAATGGATGCATGCGCACACCGTGAATTTGACCAATGGAAAAAGTTGTTATTTTAGTTGTTGTCAATGTCAATCACTCACCCATCCAACGTGTGTACGAGTATCCATGCATAGGTGGTAAGCAAAAAATTCGGCCATCTGTTCGGATCTCCGACGACATGATCATTACTAACAGGAAAATAGTTGGCAACATAGAAGTATGTCACCAATTCAGCCACATATAATGCACCTTGAAGGGTTACCTGTAAAAGTACTGTAAGAGGAGTACGGACAAAATTCGAGAGTTACTGAAAACTCTGACTCTCCTGCTCTCTTGGCCTGGCTTCTGGTTGATCCGCCAAAAACCGTGCTGTTCAAGGGGTTCCGTAGCGAAATGACTATCCAAGAGTCCATTTCAATTTAGCTACGGGGGGGGTTAGCTGGATAACTAGTTCTTTTCCATAACTATGAAATTCGAGAGAAAAAGGACATGAATTAACAAATGCTGCCTCATAAAAATAACTCCCAGCTGAAGCGAAAGGCTCACTTAAGTCGCGCTCAATGGCGTCGCATTTTTCAAATCGTAGGCCAACAAAAAGGTTTTGAAGCTCTCAACTATGTTTATTTTTTTGCTGTTGTATGTATTAAAAGCGAGAGTTGCGCAGAGCATTGAGCCTAACTGAGGAACAGTTATTCTCATATGGTAGCCGCGACGCAACTGCGCGCGGCAGCATTTGCGAAACTCCTTTCACGTCTCAGAAGATATGTATCCTCACATACAACCCACCCATGACTTATTTACATAAATAATTTTAGAAAGGCACTTAAAAGTACCTGTTGAACGAATGTTCTTTCAACAATACGTCTCTTCAACTGCTGAGTGGTCTCGAAGGCGCTGTTTGTCTGAAAATACTACTAGTAATCAATCAATAATGAAGAATTTTTGGGAGTTTCTTGATAATTCAAGTGCTGGTTGACAATAATTGTACACCTTTCTGACCCCTCCCTTTCCATTCCTTCAACTTTTCCTGCAACAAGGACACCCGAAATGCCACTCCTCTGCCATGAAACCCTCCACGGTCAGATGGGTTTCCTGACTGAATCCATTTTTTCGCGTTCTTCTTTTTCTTCAGACCAGTACTTCAATCATTTAACCCTTTGACGACCGTGTGGCCCGCCGGTGGGCCACACTTTCACTCGGAGGCGACTCGTTTTTCGTCATTTATTTGGCATTTTTATGTTTCAAAACTACCCGTATACATTATCGGAATCGCAAAACAATGTGCTCATTACTAATAATGAAATTGTTGGAGTGTTAATGGATATTGATGAAAAAATTCAAAAAGAAATGAAGCAATGCACGCACAACTGCGGTCGTCAAAGGGTTAATGTGAGCAGGGCCAACCGCCCGTTGCGTAAAATTCAAGGAGGGTCGTATTCGTTTATTTTGGATAGGACAGTGTCGCATTTGTGGTTTTTGAAAGGGGGTCGTGGTCGTAAAAAATGTGATAAATGGACAGATATCGGCAGGAACATTTATCTCCTTCCTCTCACACTGGAAGTATTATGGAGGAGCTCGTAGGGCGGAGTTGTAGTGGGTCGAGCGACACTATCGACACTATTGACCGGGGAGGGGGTCTAGGGATTCCCCCCCTCTCCCTGGAGAAGAATTCGTATAACTTCCGAAGTCGACGTTACAGAATAGTTGTGCCTAATGTTGCTGGGGGGGCTAGGAATAGGCAGCCGAAACCGACTCTACCTTGACTATGCGCCTTAAGGTTAAGATCCTTTCAAGGGCAGACTGCCCCGGCTGAAGTTGAATAGGTCCCCTTTGCATTGGGCATATAGTTCAGAAGTAACAGGGGAGATTCACCGCTAGTCAAAGCCTTTCAAAAATGCGCTAACTTTCTTGGTATTATGAGGGGTCCTAATCAATACAAATTCACCTTTTTCCTATTATAAAAATTCATTTTTATAAAAGTGCAGCCGTTGACGATGGCGAAAATCGATATCACTATCAGACCACGAAGAAATTCTGCATAGTAAACGTTAGTCAGATCACACGGTGGTGTCACATAGTCCAACATCCACCGCTGAATCGAGAATCCCATTTGGCAGGACACTAAAAATTTCAAAATTAGAAAACAAAAAAGCAAAAGAAAAATCAAAAAAACGATGGGTGGCCGTCAAGTTGATAAAATACAGTGAAAAGGAAAAGGATTTACTTGCGCAACAACTAAGAGCTGGGCAAAAGTACAAAATGCTTGGCCCACATAGTTCTCAGGGAACCTTTTTTCACCTAAAGCCCCACCCCGCTACAGTTATTCACGGCAACGAATGTGTGGCACATCCTGTGAGCCGGGCTTAGGAAAAAAAAAGGTACACGGAAGATGCGCCATGCGTTTGTTTAGGTTTAAAATCAAAAGGACGTGTGATCGAGTGATGAGCCTATACAATGATTTGAAAGCGTCAAAGCCCAACGCATCAGTTCCAAAAGCTCAACTCCAATTATTCGAATCCGGAATTGATTAGTATGGGCGGTAACTTAGGTCCGTTTATACTTTGCAAGAACGGTAAAAGTCCAACTACGCCACCTAGATTGTATCCTCAGGGAAAAATGGACTAAAGGTGATAAAAGGATAAAGGATAAAGCATTTGCCGTTGATCAATCCCTTTTTGGGATGCGGCACGCATTCTACTTCCATTTGTAGTGGCGTTTGAATGCGATGTGGCCTATACAATGACTTGCGGGGGCCAGCCGATGTACAAGTCAGTGTTTTTATCCTCCCAGACAAGTCTGGTACCAATTAACCGACCCCGGAGGGATGGAAGGCTTGGTTGGCCCGGGCGACTCACGACCCAGGATTTGATCCCCGGACCGCTCGCGTGGTAAGCGTGCCACTTGCCACTACACCACTTCCGCCCGTATAATTCGTCAATATGATATACAATGATTATGAAAAAAACTGGACTGTGCCGTAAGGAAGGTAGTGCCACAACTAAGAGATTAAAGTGACAAAGAAAGGGTGTCACGGGAAAAGTAGTATGTACCAGATTTAGAGAGAGGATGGTGAGTCATGAGATGCAGAAGCCGGCCGCGCAGTGCTGGGCGCGTGGTATTTGCATCAGAAGTACCGTCTTCACTCATACTTGCATGTGTGCATCATCTGCATCTCATCTTTGGGCGCCGATTGGAAATAGCTGGAGAAGAACTTCTTCGAACCCTTTCCCACTTTTCCTTCTTCTTTCATTCACTTCATTCCTTCAAAAATCACTAGCAGTCTCCGAGAGCTGTCATCCCTATAACATCCCCGGAATGCCCTCCAACAATTTTCGCTTTACATGAACACAGTCCTTCGCAGCAAATCAATGTGCCCCGTCGCCTGAATGGCGTCTCATGACTACCGTAACTCACACACTTTCACGTTTCCCACACTGTAAGGGGCTAACCCTCAACCCCCCCCCCTCCCCTCCCTGCTCTACAAGGCTCAGGAAAGGCTCTTGTCCTGTCGCTCTGGCCCGTACCTTCTAGATAATTCAGCAATAGTCCCTCTCCATCTGCACTCAAGCCTTTC